TGCAAGCAGCTGACCTGGGTTCAATCCCCAGCACCTCCAAGCACCGCCAGGAGTAACTCCTGAATGTAGCCCCCTGAACATCACTGGGTGTGACCCAAAAAAAAGGATTAGCCCCTCAACACTGTCAGTGTTGTCTAACGCCTCCCCCTCCTACACACAACACACACACACAAAATGAAGAGTGGGGGGCGGGGTAAATGAATGCTGGCACTGCAGAAATGATTATGAAAAACTTGACATTTGGGGGGCTGGAGCGGTAGGAGAGAGGATGGAATATTGGCCTTGCCTGGTTTTGATTCCCATATTCCATATGGCCCCGCGAGCACTGCCAGGAGTAATTCCTGAGTATGAGCCCGAAGTAACCCTTGAGCCAGGTGAGGCCCCACCAGGCAAAAATATAAAATAAAAAATAAACACTATACATTTGAGGCCCTCCCGTTGATCATCGATTTGCTCGAGCGGGCCCAGTAACGTCTCCATTGGAGACTTTGTTGTTACTGTGTCTGGCATATCGAATACTCTCGGTAGCTTGCCGGGCTCTCCGAGAGGGGCGGATACATTTGAGAAGATAAATTAATTAAAAACTTTACATTTGAGAAGAGAGATTTAAAAAGAAGAGAGGCAATGTGTTCTATTTTCAGATTGTTTGAGGTTGTGACAATTAGGTCTTTTTCAGCCAAGGACTGGAGAGAGTACAGAGAGGTAGGACTCTCGCCGTGCCTGCAGTTGACTCAAGATCCCTGCACCCCCACACAGTCCCCAAAACCACCAGGAGTGATTCCTGAGGATCACTGAGAACCAGGAGTAAACCCTGAGACAGCTGTGGCCAAAACCAAGCCAAATCCAAGTTTTCCAGCCAAGGATGCTTCCCCTGGGTCCTAGACATAGAACCTCCCAGGGTCCCCTGACACTCCTCAGGGGGCAGCATTCCTGCCTTTGTACCTAGAACACTCTGTCTGTTGAAACCAAAGAAAAAATCCTTCTCTCACTTCATTTTCTCCCATAATTTTTCAGTGCCCCAAGTGTGGCCTGGGCCACAAGGTCACTCAGAGGAGAGTGAATGCGACAAGGCACCAAACAACCATTGCCACATGGAGGAAATGGAAGCCAGTGGCGGCTGAGGTGCACAGAGCTTGTGCTTCTCTGACTTTCTTAGCCACACCCTCATATTTTCTTTGCTGGAAACTTCTCTATTCTCTGACTGCTGGCACAGCCCAGGGAGATACAGATAAATCTCCAAAGTGGACTTCTGTCTTTCTTCCCGCTGGGCAACTCCTCCCAGAAAGAGGTGGAAACTACAGTCCCTCCCCTTGAATCTGGGTCAGCAACTGGCTTGCTTTGACCAACTGAAGAATATTGTGTTTTGGCCTGGCCTTGGAGGCTGGCAGCCTCCTTCTCCTTGTGAGAGGCCAGCTACCATGTTGTAAAGGAAGTGGAGCTGGAGGAGGCCTGGGTTCCATCCCTAGTACCACAACCTTTATACCACATCTAGTCAATGGCATGGAGGCCATGCTCTGCATGCAGGAGGCCTGGGTTCAATTCTTGACACCTCAGGGTCCCCCTACTGGGAGCAACCCCCAAGCACAAAGCCAGGAGAAGCCCCTGAGCACTATTGGGTCCAGCAGGCCCAGACACAGGCTGGAGGCAACAGAGCTAAGTGTTGATAATTCCAGCTCCAAACTGTCTCCAAATGGCTACCCTCATGTCCAGGCTTCCCTTATTATCAGAAACAAGAGTGTTTCTAGTTGGTAGGATTTGGTAGGTTACTTTTGGGGTCTGAAATGGCTACTACTATTAATTTACATGAAAGGTTTTGTACACACACATTCCAAGAGCTCAAAAATAAATTTCCAAATAAAAATGTTCTACTTTTGGATACCAGGAGAAACCCACATCCAACATCTTTCTCAATTTCTCCACTTGGATGACTAATAACCATCTCAAACTGAAAAAGACTCTTGATCTTCCCCTTAGGGAACTAAGTCTTTGCCATCTCAGCAAATCCATTCTTATGCTGTGTAAAGCAAAAGTCTTGGCATCATACTTTTATGGGGGGTGGGGGAGGCACAGAGGCCACTCCTATTGGTGCTTAGGGGCTGCGCCATGCCAGGGATCGACCCTAAAGTTCCGCCTTCAAAGCACGTGCTCTGACACTTTGAGTTACCTCTCTTGCCCGTGGATCATTCACACAGCCAAACCTTTAGTGAATCTGATTGGCTCTACTTTAAAATACAGGCAGAGGGGCTTGAGCAATAGCACAGTGGGGAGGGAGTTTGCCTTGCATGCAGCCGACCTGGGTTCAATCCCCGGCATTCCATATAGTCCCAAACAGAGCCAAGAATAACCCCTGAGCATTGCTTGCTATGACCCAAAAAGCAAAAAAATAAAAAAATAAGGCAGAATTTGACCATTTCTACCCACTGCTTTCACCATTATCTTGATCTAATTTACCTCTGTTCCTCCCTTGATTATTAATAGCTTCCAAACTGGTTTCTCTGCTTCACTCTCGCCTCCTCCTCACCCTCACCCAGCAGCCACCAGGGTGTTCCTTTTAAGCTTCTGTCTCTTCACATCACTTATTTGCCAAAAAACTCTATGGTGCTTCCCTTCTCAAAGTAAAAAACCCTAAAGCCAGAGTTTTCGTAAATTACAAATCAAATCAGGAACTTGTATCTAGGCTACTGAAAGAACCATTACCACTCACTCATCAGAAGACAAATAACCTAATTAAAATATGGGGAAAGGACCTGGTTAGACATTTCTATGGTATATAAATCAGGAATGCAAAGAAAAATCACAATAAAGGCTGCAGAGATAGCACAGCAGGTAAACTGCTTGCCTTGCATGCTATGCTACCAACCCCAACCCAGATTCAATCTCAGGCACAATATATGATTCCCTAACCCCTGTCAGGAGTGATTCCTGAGCACAGATATGACCCCCCTCCCGAAAGAATGAACCTTTATAGCAACCTGCTGAATGAAGTAAGTCTGTCACAGAAGGTCACATACACAGATACCACTTACATGAAATGTGGACTCAAGACCTTTGTGGAGACTGAGTAGATTTTTGGTTGCCAAAGGCAAAAGAGTGGGTTAAAGGTGAAAGTGAAGGAGTATGGAAGTTTTTTGGTAATGAAAAAACAATTATAAATTGATTGTGGAGAATATACTCTCAGACATGGGCTATGGAGTTTTTTGCTTTTTATTTTTGTTTGGGGGCCAGCAGTACACAAGGCTTACTCCTGGCTCTCAAGGATCGCTTCCGGTGCTCAGGGAATCCTATGGTGTGCCGGGGATTGAACCTGTGTTGGTCATATGTAAGGCAAGTGCCCTACCACTTTATTATTGCTCTGGCTCCTGAACTGTGTGCCTTAAGAGGGTCAACTGGGCCAGAGCAATAGCACAGCAGGTAGAGCATTTGCCTTGCATGTGGTCAACCTGTAAATTACAAACCAAATCAGGAACTGGTGTCTAGGCTACTGAAAGAACCATTACTGCTCATTACCAATCCCTGGCATCCCATATGGTCAATGCCAGGACTAATTTCTGAATGCAGAGCAAGAAAAAAACCCTGAGCATTACCAGGTGTGACCCCAAAAGCAAAATAATAAACCAATTAATTAATGAAATCTCACTTAAAAAAATAGACAAAAGGGTCAACTGTGTGGTACATGAATCCTAGCTTCATAAATTTACAAACAAAATCCCAAATCTTAGGATGGCCTACAAGGTCCATCACTGTGCTGGTTTTTGTCTCTCCATCCTTTGTTTTAACTGTTGTAGAATCATGCCTGGTGTTGCTGGGGTTGGGGGGCGATGCAGTGCGGGATTCTAGGGTTTCAAACATGTGTATCATCTACTTGAGACACAACCTGACCCCCTCTATCCTTTGTCTTCTTCTTTTACATTTTTTAGGTAACATCTGGCAGTACTTGGGATTTATTCTTGGCTCTGCAGTGATTATTACTGGATTATTATTTCAGTGATTCTGACTCAAGAAACACTCCTGGTGGGCTCAAGGGACCATATGTGGTGCCAGGGATCAAACCTGGGTCCTCCTCCTCCTCCTCCCCCTCCTCTTTCTCCTCCTTCTCCTCTTCCTCCTCCTCCTCCCACACTCATGCTGAGACTCCTAGGCAGGGCTGTGGCTGAGGGTTGAGCTACTCAGGCATTAAACAATCCTCTGGCTGAAGTGAGGGCTTCAGGTCCAGCCTCTGCCCGGCTGAAAGGGCCCAAGCTGTACCCACTCCCGGGCTCCTCCCTCTGACATGGCACACAGTCAGGGCTCTCTAGGACAGGCATATAGCTCCCGCATACACCAGCCCCTCTGTTCTTCCACTCTCTCCTCCACATACTTGACCTCTGCTCATTCTCATTTCATCTGCCATAGAAGGGGTACCCTGCACATTCCCAGGCCCCTCATTCTCTCTCTTCACCCACTTTTCTTTCACTCCTCAGAACCTATTGCCACCTGAGAGATGATATAGTGACATGCTGTTCAGGTCCGTTACCACTTCATTTTCCATTGGAATAAAAGGTCTGAGATCACGAGTTCATCTGGGGATGAAGCTCTAAGGCCTGGAATAAGATATATCCTGCAGCAGGTATTCAGGAAGAGTTCCTGAGGGCCCAGATGGATAGCTCAAAGGGTTGGAGAACGTGCTTTGAAAGGTGGGAGACCTGGGTTTGATCCTTGGCATCTCAGGGTCTCTTGAGTACCCAGAAGTGGCCCCTGAGAAATCCCAAGTGTGGGCCCAAAACCTAAAAAAAAATTCATTACCTGAGAGCAGAAGCCAATGAAATAAATACAAGTGATCGCCAAAGGCCAACTTAGAAGAGAGGTGTGTGGGGGGTGGATCAGGCTGACTATACAATCAAAGCAAAAAGCAGCGGTCTACAGTGGCTGAGATGACCATAAGGCACCATTAATGAGAATCTGGACCCCTGAGGGTCATCCTGATGCTCCAAGTGGGCTCCCGCATTGGCCTGGCCTCTTACCTCCTCTTTGGTGTAGTACTTCAGGAGACCTTCTCTGGCCAAGAGGACAAACCTCCTCCTCAGGAACTGCGCGTTGTCCCTTCCCCGCTTCCACAGGAACCCTTCTCTGCTCCCTGAGCCAGCGAGGAAGAGAGAGTGTCATCACCCCTGGCCTGCAGACTCATAGTGCAGTGCTCAGACCTGGGAGGGTCTCAGTTGCAGTGAGCCCCCTACCAGCCGCTATGTCTTGCTCATAACTCTGCTGGCTCAGCAGCATGTCCTGGGGCTGGACTCCCAGGCTTGTGACATCCCAGGACACCAACTGAACTACTCCTAAGCCTCCTCCTAGGCTTACAGGAAAGAAGGCACAGTCAGCCCCTCCTGAAGCTGAGAAACAAACTGATTCTCAGAGACGCCCGAGAGTCCTGCCGAACTTGCCACTGACTTCAGCCTCAAGAAACCCCCATCACGCCAGTGCCCGACGACTCCTGCGCTGGGTAGAAGTTCAGGGCCCACTCCTGGCAGCGAGGAGCGAGCAGCACTGGCAGTTTCCAAAGCTTCGCGCCCCTGTCAGTGTCCACTCAGACACTGAGCCACAAGGCAGGCGCAGCAGGCAGTTCAAGGCTGCAGAGAAGGCAGAGGCCAGTACAAAGGCAGGAAGAGAGGCTGGAACCCAGCCCAGGTCCTTCAGCAAGCCTGGAGCAAGCCTGGGGCTGGCCAGCGGCAGAGCTGCCTCCTTATTGGCTTGCCCCCCACCCCACCCCCCCGGCTGAGGCTTCCTGCTTTGTATATTTAGGCTCTCTGCACACTTGTTCTCTGCGAGGACCCAAGATAAAAATTCTTCTCAGCCACTGAAACCCTAACCCCAGCTCCCTTAGTGAAGACGATGCCTCTCTCAGGGGTAAATGAACCCACAATTTGGTCTCTGCGGTCAGGAGGGTGGGCAGCAGTTCTCTTTTCATGGGCCTTAGGCACTCTGTTTTCTAGACCTCACTAGAACACAGACCTCAGAAGACGATGAAAATAAATTTACCTGGGGGCGAGAGAGTTTTCCCATCAGCCATAAACTCCTGTCTCTCATACTTAGCTCGAATCCATTGTTCCTTTAAGACCCTGAAAAGAGAGGGCTTTGGTCAGTTGTGTCTGAGACCTGCTCGTGCTCTCTCTCTCTCTCTCTCTCTCTCTCCCTTCCTCCCTCCCTCCCTTTCTCTCTTCCCCCCTTCTCTCTTACACACACATGCACGCACGCACACACGCACCGTGCACAGACTCCAGGCCCTTGGTATGAAGTGGAAACAAAAGCAGCCGAGGCTGTCTACTCAACCCCCTCAGGTTTCAGGCTTTCTGAGTCCTGGTGCTGTTAGTCTCGGGGGCTGGAGAACTGCTTCTGGGACTGCCCTGTGCTCTGGGGGACACTTAGCAGCCTCTTGGGCCTCTACCCACCAGGTGCCCATGTGGTCCTGCTGAACCTGACAATGGCTCTGGACAGGCTCCCTGTCCCAGGTCACGCAAGATGTCTTTAGACTTTGCCAGTGTCTTCAGGGGACACAGGTGGGGTTCTCTCAGTACAAAAATCACTGGAGTGTTCCCATCCCAACCTCAGCCCTCTCAGCCAGTGAGACAAACATCTGCTCTCCATCCACCCACTGACACAGTCACCTCCCCCAGCATTCTATGAGCTGAAGCACGAAGTATTCAAGAGTCTCTTCCTGTGGCCCACTTGGGAAATCTGGGCCTGACACACTGAGCAGAGCGGTGGCCCCGGGGTCTGCCTCCTGCCATGTAGCCACCGTGTCATCCAAACCAAGTTATTTCACTCATCCGAACTTGGGGGATAGGCCCGCAGTGTCCTACATCCTCCTCGGGGTTGTGAAGAGGCTTCTGGTTCTATTTTGTGTTGGGGCCATACCTGGTGGTGCAGAGGGGCTATTCCCAGCTCTGTGCTCAAGGAACCATGGGGAACGGGGTCAGAGCCAAAAACCTCCTGCAGGCAAAGCATGTGCCCCAGCTTGTGGTGTGCTCTCACCCGCCCTTGCTAAGAGCTGTAAATGTCTATGAAAGGCCTGTTCAGCTTCTGGGAGGTGTTTGATAATCCACCCAGATACTGTCATCCAGGACCCCTGGGGGAAACCAGGCAGCCGTAAGAGAACGTAACTTAATCATCTGATTACTACTCCACTTCTTCAGGTACGGGTTCTAAGATTTATCTGCCCTCGGTAAGGGCGTGATGCAGAGCTGGCACTTGGACTAAACTGGCCCATCTGGGCAAAAGTGAGAGAGAAGAAAGAGGAACTGGAAAGAGCTCCAGGGACCTGGAGACATTGCTGCCGGCGCCCTGGGGGCCTGACTGGGGAATAGGCAGAAATGGGGACAGCCAGCTCAAGAGATCTGGTGCGCTTTGTCTCCAAGGGCAGCTTCCTGGGGTCTGATCCCCCAGAACCATAAAGTACCCATTTGCCTAAACTGGTTTAAACTGGACTTCTGGGAGCTGGAGTGATAGAATAGTGGATATTTGCCTTGCACGTGGCCGACCGGGTTCAATTTCCAGCATCCCATATGGTCCCCTGAGCACTGCCAGGAATAATTCCTGAGTGCATGAGCCAGGAGTAACCCCTATGCAACACCAGGTGTGACCCAAAAAGAGCAAAACTAAATAAATAAATAAACAAACAAACAAAAACTGGGCTTCTGGGGCTGGGGAGAAAGCTGGCTGGAGCCCAAGCTTTGCATGCATGAGCCCCAGTTTCTAACCCCTAGCATTGCAGGGAATGAACCCCAGGCTTGGAAAAGACCCTGAGTACCATCATATATGGCCCCCAGCCAAAACGACAAATGACAAATAAGTGTTTCTTTCACTTCCTGTCAAGAGCCCTCACCCATAGGACACGGAGATGATGTGGAAGCTGAACCTCAGGATCAAAGCTGGAGGGAGACCAAAGACCCCAATCGTGGACCTGCAAGTATAGGATCAAGAACTGGTGGAAGGAAGCATCAGTGTCAGCTAAGAGTAAGGCCACTTTGGAGTGAGGGCAAGCAGGCTACAAGCTGGCAGAAGGTTACAGCACACATTAGTTTCTCCCCAATGCCTCCCTCCCCGGGGATCACACAGCAAGGGGCCAGGCAACCAGGTAAGCCTGGACAGGGCAAGGGTAGCGATCAGTGCAGAGCAGCTCCCTGGCTCCACTGAGACTCAGGGCTCAATTCCCTGCACCAAAAATCAACCAAGAAAACCCCCATCATATCATTCTTTTTTTCTTTTTGCATTACACCCAGTGATGCATAGGGGTTACTCCTGGTTCTGCACTCAGGAATTACTCCTGGCGGGGCTCAGGGAACCATATGGGATGCTAAGAATTGAACCTGTGGGTCAGCCGCATGCAAGGCAAATGCCCTACTCGCTGTACTATTGCCCTAGCCCCATCATCAGACCATTTTTTAAAATAAAGAAAAAAGGAAGCGAAATAGGATAAAAATGGAATCAGGCAGCCCATGAGAGGTTTTACATAAATCAGTTCATCTGGGGGCTGGAGTGATAGCATAGCTGGTAGGGCGTTTGCCTTGCACACAGCCTACCCACGTTCGATTCCCAGCATCCCATAGAGTCCCTCGAGGGAGTAATTCCTGAGTGCATGAGCCAGGAGTAATCCCTGTGCAGTGTCAGATGTGACCCAAAAAGCAAATAAATAAATAAATCACCTCATCTATAGTTCTGTGGGCATTACTTGATGTGTCCATCACCAACCAGATCAGAGTAAGGATGCGCAGCCAGAGAGATCCAGTCAGCCTCCACCTTCTCAGGGCAAGGGTCAGGCAGAGTCGGACAGAGCTGGGCTTCCCTGCTGCAAGTCTCTACCTGCTGGCTGTGTCTGGGACCCCAGGCATGGCTCGCCAGGTGGTACAGCTGCACAGGTTGTGCACTGTCCACTGTCCCCTGAAGTCAGAGGCAGGGACGCTGCCATGCCTCTCCTGGGAGGCAGAGTCTCCCCATTCACACAGTGAGTCTCAGTGACTGGGAATGAAGCTCAGGCAAAGGCGGTCTGTTATAGGCCTGGGGTCCTTGGCAGCTGGACACCCACCAATGAGTGAGCAGAAACCTTGCGTCTTGTCCCAGCCAGACAACTGTACTCCTAGTATATCCTCTCCATGCTTCAGCTTACCCAGGTTCTGGGCTAGTCCCACTCCACCTCTACATGCCTCAAGCTTTTTAATTCCATCACTCGGTTAATATATATGTCACCTGCCGCTGTTGAGATAATGAAATGAATGCACAGAAGCTTTTCAGAAAGGGCCAGTTCGATCGTAAAAGCCAAGAGGTAAGAGTAGCGAGGAGAGAGAGCAGCGAGTCATTATGGTTACTATTTCGGGCGCTAGGGCCCAGGCAAGCTGCTTCTGAGCTAGACAGCTCAGAAGGGACAGCCCAGAGTTCAACACACCACAGGAAGTAGCCCAGATGTGGTTGTTCTGCAAAAATCTCAACATTTTCCTCCTGATCAAGTCAGCCGGCCACCAGTGGCTAAGGGAATGTCAGTGGCAGAGAGAAAATGCCCCTTTCATAGCCGCAGAAACTGAGCTCAGCACAGTCATATGAATCCCCAGCAATGAAGTTGGGGAAGAGTTTCATTGCTTCTCTGCACTTTCCATAAGCGGCCCGAAAGAGCCCCAAATTCTGTTGTGAGCTATATCCGCATGAGAGAGCACTGCACATCGAGGTGTTGGCAACGGTGCGGGGTGGGGAGCAAGGCTGGGCAGTCACCCACTCACAGGCAGTCACTGGCCTGGGGGACGTAGTAGAAGGCAGGGACTCTGGCTTCGTACTTGGCCTTCACACGCAGATTCCCATTGTGGGTCATAAACTGCAAGACAACAGCAATGTGGGGTAATATCAGAACTTGAAACAAACAAACAAACAAACAAACAAACGTGAAATGAAACATGGACTCCATTCTCAGGGCTTCCGGGCTGGGTCAGGAGAACATCCCACAGGAGCTGTCCTGGGCCCCCAGGAGGCTGGGGAACACCAGCAGGGAACCGTGAGGTGCTCTCACAACCACACTTCTTATAGTCGGGCGTCTCGAGTCCACACACATTAACTCCTATGATCCCTTCAACCGCAGTAACATTATTCTAGCCATTTTAGAGATGAGGAAATCGAGGCCCAGAGAGATTCGTTGATTTACTCAAGGAAAAACACAGGAAGTAATGAGCTAGGATTTGAGCTTGACTTTCTCCCACTCCTGCAATGGCCACGACCTCAAGGAGCAGTTCCCAAAAGTCTGCAAGTGCTTGCAAGGCAAGATCATACAAGGCACAGTAGAGCCCTCATCCTACCCACTATACTATCTCTCCAGACATAAAAACCCAGTTTGGTTTAGTTTGGTTTGATTTGTTTTGGGGCCACACCCAACTGTGTTCACGGCTTACTCATGGCTCTGCACTCAGTGATCACTCCTTGCAGTGCTCAGGGGGCAGGGGATCGAACTCAGGTTGGTCATGTGTAAGGCAAAGGCCATATGTTTCCTATACTATCTCTCTGTCTTAAAGGTAAAGGTAAAGGCCCTCCCGTTGATCATTGATTTGCTCGAGCGGGCCCAGTAACATCTCCATTGGAGACTTTGTTGTTACTGTGTCTGGCATATCCAATACTCTCGGTAGCTTGCCGGGCTCTCCGAGAGGGGCGGAGGAATCGAACTCGGGTCGGCCATGTTGGCCGCATGTAAGGCAAACGCCCTACCCGCTGTGCTATCGCTCCAGTCTTATTCAGACTTTTTCACCCCAACATCAAAATCCCAACTGTGTTACTTATTCACTATGTGACCACTTACCAATACTTAATCCCTTGAGTTTCAAGGATGTTAAAAATGAATCAACTATGACAGGGAGGTTAAAAGGCCTAAAGAAATAATCTTCTATCCATATTTCTGTGCTGACTTACCGCACTGTTCCTTTTATGGGGGTGGAGGGAAGAGTTTAGAACACACCTGGAGGTGCTCACTCCTGGCAGAGCTAGGGGTTGGTCACATGCAAGATACTGCCTTAATCCCTGTACTATCTCTCTGCCTGCTCGGTTCATCTTTTTCCTGCACTAGAATGCAGGGGGCCTGTGGGCAAGCACTTAATCTTGTTTACTGTTCTCCAGTCCACAGCCCATAGCAGACTTGCCATAAATATGGTTCAAATACCTCAGCATCAGCCCAGTCTCCCAAGCAGTGCCTGCCGCCAGGGCAGGTATTCTAACGGTCTGCCTGGTTCCCCAACAGTGCTGGAAATTCCAGCCATCCAGCACTGTTACAACACAAAGCACAGAGCTATCTAGTATCTATCTACATAATTTGTTCATCATCCTGACTAAGGTGCCCTCTCTCCCTGGAGGTCAGGGGAGCAGCTTGGTGCCTGACACAGGAGAACTTGCAATAATAGACCAGAAACGAGGAAACTTCTGTGCTGCAGGACTAGCGGTAACCCGCAGCAGCAGTCTGCCGACTGCTTACTCCGCTGATCCCACCCCTTGTAGCCTCCCCGCACAACGCAGACTTGAACTGCGGAGTTGCAGGGGGACAAAGAACAAACCCCGCGTGCGCAGAGCGAGTGAAGGAGCTAGATTCCCACTCTGGGCCCGTGTGGAAGCTGAGAGTGCGTCTAATCGGGCTCCGGGCGCCCCCCCACCCGCGTCCTCCCCCAGTAGAACGGTGGCCAGCCCTCCTCCCCTAAACCAGCTCCCCCTCCTACCTCCACGATACTGTCGTCCCAGAAGTCAAGTCTCACGGATTTGACTCTGCTGACGTCGGGGAAGTTGCGGTGGACCCCGGAGCAGTTCAGACAGATGAAGATGCCCAGCTTGTAAGAGGCCCAGTCGGGATCTGCGGGACGAGAGGGTCGACGGGGAGCGGGCAGAGGCATCCCGGGCAGGGCGGGGGGTGCTGGGAGAGGACTCGGGTTGGATCCCTGGCCAGTCCACCCGGAGGCGCAGGCCACGGCGGCGGGGACCCGGCAGCGGTGGAGATGCGCAGAGAGTGCAAGCGACTGGACAGCGCGGAGACGGGGAGTCGCGGGGGTTCGGGGATCCGAATCGGAATCGAGCGTCGGGGCGCTTCGGGGAGCAGCGGGGCGCAGCGGGGCGCAGCCGGGCGAGGCCCTGGACGGCGGGGCGGGACCCGGCGCGGGTCTGAGACCTGCGTCCAGAGGTAGGAAGTGGCCGGCTGCGAAGTGCAGACACCAGACTCGGGGGATCCGGCCGAGAACACCCGGATCCCGGGTCTAGAGTCGGGGTGCAAAGATTTGGAGACATCTGGGTCCAGAGTGGAGAGCGCAAGTGGCCGAGGTTCGGGTAGGCGCAGGATCGGAAAAGGAAAGGACCGTGGAGGGGGCTAAATCCAAAAGTGTCCCACGAGTCCGCGCGGGTGCAGCGGGCTCTGGGGGCCCCACGGTACGCGGTTGGAGGGAAGGAAAGGGGGCGCCGGCGTCGCCGCTTACCCGCCGCCCCGCAGTCAGCGCAGTGCGCGTTGCCGGTGCCCGCCGCTTGCAGTAGCTCCAGCAGCCGCTTCTTGTTGCGCTCGCGGTCGCCCATGCCCGCCCGGCGGGCTCAGCGGGGCCCCGCGCCGCCGCCCCCCGGCCCGCAGCTGCCCATGGCCCGCGCGGCGCGCCGGCAGGTGGAGCGGAACCGAGCGCGGCCAGACGCGGCCCCGCCCGCCCCGCCCCGCAGCGCCGCCGCCCCGCCCTCGGCGCCGCCGCTCCCGCTCTGCCGGGTCGCTCAGAGGGGTCCGAGACCGGCCCTGACCCGGCCGCTTGCCAGTTGCGCGACACTAGCAACCTGTTTAACCCCGGTGAGCCTGTTTCCTTCTCCGTACCCGGGCCCATGTCTGTATCCCAAGGGCCCTCGGAGACCACCCAGGCGCTGGCTCCTGCGCACGCGGTTTGACTGGTGCAGCCGCTTTCCTTGGCAGAGACCGTCGGAGATGCCAGCGGTGCCCAGCTGCGAGTCGTCGCTCCATTTTCCGTTCCTCCTACATCACACTACTTTAGGATTCGACCATCCTGCTCCGGGGCCTTGGGTGCCTATTTGCGGAAGGGAGGCGGAGGCACACCTCGAAGTGCTGGAGTCGCTCCCTGCGGTGCCTAGAACCAGGGTTCTGCGTGCACTCTAGAACCTTGGAGTTATCTTCCCCGGTCCCTTGGCCCTGAGTCCTTTCTCTCTACCTGGCATCACTGTTATTTATTTATTGCATTTTTTTTTTTTTGCTTTTTGGGGTCACACCCGGTCATGCTCAGGGATTCCTCCTTGCTCTGCGCTCAGGAATTACTCCTGGCGGTGCTCAGGATGATGCGAGAGATCAAACCCTGGTCCCTCTGCTTGCAAGGCAAACGACCTACCAGCTGTACTCACTCTCCTCACATTCACTATCACTATCACTATCCTCCCATTGTTCATCGGTTTGCCCCAGCGGGCCCAGTAACATTGTGAAACTTGTTACTGTGTTTGGCATAGCCAATAAGTCACAGGTAGCTTGCCAGGCGTTGCCTTGCGGGCAAGGTACTCTCAGTAGCTTGCCGGGCTCTCGGAGGGGCGGAGGAATCGAACTCTGGTCAGCCATGTTGGCTGCATGAAGGCAAGCGCCCTACCCGCTCTGCTATCACTCCAGCCCTCCGCCTCACATTACTGATATTTATTTATATGTTTATATATTATCACCATCCCCGACACACACACACACACACGTTAGGTGCATGCTAAGTTTTGTTGTGTTTTTTTTGTTTGTTTGTTTGCTTTGGTTTTGGCCATACCCAGCAGTACTCAGAGCTTACTCTTGGTTCTCCTCTCAGAGATCACTGCTAGTGAGGCTTAGGGGACCATCTGGGGTGCCAGGGATAGAACTGGGTTGACCAGGAACAAGGCAGGCGCCTTCCCTGCTGTACTGTTTCTCCACTCTCAGATGCATGGACGTTTTATTTCTGTGTCTCTGATCACTTCTAGCAATGAAAAGCACCTGCACGTTTAGAAGTTAAAAATTAAACCAAACAAACTCCTATGACTGTATTGAACAGCAGAGTGTGGCTTCATCAGCACAGACAGGGCTGGGCACTGTCATTTATGAGATGTGATCTGTAAGACCTTGTGGGGTTTCGAACTTGACATTTCATCACCCCTTCCCCCTTCCTCGTTGTCCCTCATTAACAACATCTTCAGAGACCCTTGGGGCTTGGGAAGGCGTCTATTGCCTACACTGGCCAGCCTCTATAGGGGGATGCTCACGCTTCTTGAAGGATTGCAGTGATATTCCAGCTGGCCCGCCTGTGTCTTCCATTCCACATGTGTACCCACCAAAACACTTACGGCAATCGTGTGTAAGGAAATGGATCCAAAAACTCTAGTTCCATCTCTTACTTTCTGTGTGACCTTGGGCAAGTGTCTTCACATCTCTGGCCATCGGACTCCCTCCCCTGCTGTAAAAGAGGGTTAAGAGATGCACCAGATAGGGCGTCTGATAATTGCCAGTGCCTGGCATAGAAGCCCCTCCATGGAAGGGGGCTCTCTCTGTCCTCTGGAATGTTGTCACTCTGTGGGGCGAAGGGGTCACTCAGGGGTCAATTCTCCAGGAACCTGACCAAGAATAACCAGTCATTTGAGGTCTTGGAGGTGGAGGGAAAGGTCTCGCCCAGGAGCACTAGTGAGAGAGCCCTGCAGAGGTCGAAGGGTATGTGGCTGTTTACCGAAAGGAATAAAAGATGATTCACTTCCGCTGCTTCAGCTGGAAAAAGCAGGGACAGAAATAAATCTCCCAGGAGAAAGATGGGAAAGGAATTCTGAGGTATAAGGCAAGGGGCAGGGAAACTAGGGGGACCAAAAGGGGACAGGCCAAGGGTGTTATTTCTCCCCTGCCCAATGCCAGAGCAAAGTTGTGGGTTGGGATGGGGGATGGTTCTTGGGTACCTTCTGCCACCTTTGAATCTGTGCCCCCCCCCCCCACACACACCGCAGTCCCCCAAGAGCCAACCCAAAGGAAAACAGCATCTTCTTCACCGTGACGAGTTAGAGATTGAAGAGATTCCTTTAGTTTCTGCTCTTCCTGTCCTTAATTTCTAGAAGTTTCCATTGGATAGAAATCCAGCCTTCAGTGGAATTTCAGGCATCCTCTGAACAACAACTCAAAGTGCACTTTGGAGTCCATGTGCGCCCTCTAAGGGCAGAGCGTTATCCTCCGAGGAGTTAAGTTACCCAGGGTCAAGGCTCCAAACAGGGAGTGAGCAGGGCTGGGGCGAGGGCTCCAAGGCTGGAGCGTGCGTGAGTGTCTGAGTGGGATCCCCAACCTGGTACAGTTCCCAGCACCGGCGGGGAGCCCCCTTCTCCACAAAAATAATGAGGACAGAATGGGAGCCTAAATCCAGGTCTCTGTGTAGTGTGGCGGCTCCCATGCCACTTTTGTCAGGAAATCCCAAAGGACAGGCCTGGTCTCCCTTTGATCCTCCCATCCCTGAATTTTTTTTTCATTTTTGGAAAAGTTGTAGTAGGGGAGCTGGAGAGATAAGTATAGCAGGTAAGACATGTGTCTTGCAGTTGGCTGCGGTTCCATCCTCAGAAGCATATGAGCACTGCCAGGAGTGATCCTTGAGCATACCTGGGTGTGGCCCAAACCCTCTTACCTGGAGAAATAGGCTGGAGAGAGAGCCAAATGGGCTGAGTACATGATTTGCATGGCAGAAAGCTCAGTTTGATTTGCAGCATCACTAACCACTGCCATGAACTACCCACTAAGCATAGCGTCAGGAGGAGCCTCAGAGCAACCCAGGTGTCATGAAAAAAAAAATTGTAGTAAACTCAATATAACAAGCAACAAAGAGATAGTTCAAGTGGTAGAGCACATGCCTAACCTGTGAGAAATACTCTCAGTTTGGTCTCCAGTTCTGCATGGTCCACCGAGTAACTCTGCATCTGGACCTGGTGTCCCCCTGCACCACCAAGAATTGCTGGGAGTAACCAAGGGCCCCCCAACCTTTGCAAGAATTGGTCCTGTTTTTAAAATTTTCTAGGGACCAGAGAGAGAGAGGGAAAAAGGGAGGGAGAGAGAGAGAGAGACAGAGAGAGAGAAGGAAGGGCACTTGTCTTGCATGCAGAGAACTTGGGGTTCAATCCCCAGCACCCAATCTGGTTCCCCAAATGGGAACCATCAGTGACCCCTGATCCCAGACCCAGAGCACCACCAAGTTTTTTTTATGAAAACACTGTCACTGTCACTGTCCTCCTGTTGTTCATTGATTGACTCAAGCGTGCCCAGTAACGTCTCCATTGTGACAACTGTTACTGTTTTTGGCATATCGAATACGTCATGGGTAGCTTGCCAGGCTTTGCCGTGTGGGCGAGATAACTCTCGGTAGCTTGCTAGGCTCTCCGAGAGGGACAGAGGAATCGAACTCGGGTCAGCCATGTTGGCCGCTTGCAAGGCAAACACCCTACCCGCTGTACTATCACTCCAGCCCCTTATGAAAACAAAATAAATAAAAACTCCCCTCTAACATAAAATTGGCCGTTTTAACCATTAAGTGCATAATTCAGTGAAATCTTTTTTGTTGTTATTATTGTTTGGTTGGTTAGTTGTTAGGTTGATCGACACCACACTTGTCGATGCTTACAGCGTATTCCTGGCAGTTCACTCAGGGATCACTACTAGCAGGGCTTGGGGTGCCATATGGGATGCTGGAAAATGAATCTGGATCAGCTGCATGCAAAACACGTGCCCTACTCACTATACTATCACTTTGGCCACTGAGTGACATTGTTGTACCCATCAGTGGGTTGCAGCATGGACGTTTGTGTTTTGTTTCGTTGTCTTTGGGTCATACCCAGTGATGCCTGGGGATTACTCCTGGCTCTGCACTAAGGAATTACTCTTGGTGGTGCTTGGGGGACCATATGGGATGACGAGGATCGAACCCAGATTAGCCGCAAGGCAAACGTCCTCCCCACTGTACTATCACTCCAGCCCCCTATAGCATGATGTTTGTGATGAAAAAAATTTGGAAGTGGGGGGGATGGAGTGATAGCACAGCGGGTAGGGCATTTTCCTTGCACATGGCCAACCTGGGTTCGATTCCCAGCATCCTTGGTCCTCCAAGCACCGCCAGGAGTAATTCCTGAGTGCAGAGCCAGGAGTAACCCCTGAGCATTGCCGGGTGTGACACACACACACACACACACACACACACAAATTGGAAGTAGATCACGGAGATGGGTGTACCACTGGTGGATAATGGGCATAATCCAAGCTGAGCTCAGTGCTGGGAAACCTGAAGGTGCTCCTGAGAAAGGGCCCTGTGCCAAAGGCTGGTCAAAAGCATTGGGACAAGATGGACTGCAGCTGAACTAGAGTGATAGTGCAATGAGTAAGGAGATGAATCCAGGTTCAACCTCCAACATCCCATATGCTTCCCCAAGTACCACCAGGAGAGATTCCTGGATTCAGGAGTAAATCCTGGGCATACAGGTGGCCCCCTCCCCAAACCAAAAACAAACATAAAAGGACAGACTGGTCCATATAGCAACTATCTGGGGAGAGGCAACAGGCAGTGGGACATAGCTGTAAATAAAGTTGCCACAGCCCACCCTGCCTGCCCTGCTCACAGAATCAGTCACTGTCTTGGCCGAGCGGACCCAGCTGCAGGAGGGCTGGAAGGAAGCCTTCAA